GGGGGGGGAGGGGAACAGCGGAGCGAGACGCCGAGAGGGAACGCACTTCAGCGACTCGGTGGCCTTCTCGAAGGAGTCCAGACCGAAGTTGGCATCGTTCTTGTCGCTGGAGGAGTTGCCTTTCAGCGCACTAAACATGGCTGCTACGGTGGGGTGGCGTGGTGAAGGGGGAGGGGTGAAGGGGAGGGGGAAGGCAAGGAAAGGGAAAGGAGGGGACGAAGAAGGAGGGGAAAGAAGGAGGTAGACAGAGCGGAGATGGTGAGTGGTAGGTTCGTATGGGAGAGGGTGTCGAAAGCGGCCCGGGGAGCCGAGAAGATGGGGGGTGTCGCAAAAGGCCCGGCCTGGAGGGGGCAAGGGGGAGGGGGGGGGGGGGGTGCCCCGCACAGCCAGGGCCTACGTCGCCCCATGCGGACCGGCCCTCGACAGGCATCGTCGGCGACGCGGCACGAGGCACGGGCAAATGGTCAGCCGCCCTTGCCCGGAGTCATCGCACCCGTCCGAGGACCCGGTGTGTGCCGTCCGCCTGCCCGGGTCGAGGGGGCCAGGGCCGGGCGCGATCCGAGCCCGCCCCCGGCTGTTCGGAAGCCCCGCTCCAGGCAGGCGCTCCTCAGGCCCCCCGCCTCCGTGCACCAGCCGCCTTCCTCTTCGGGCGGGAACCGCCCCCCCCCCGCCGGACCCCCCCCGTGTGCCCCCCCCCCCCCCCCCCCCGCGCGCGCCCCGCCCTTGCCGGGCCGGGCGGGACACGAAAAACACATGTGGTGGGCCTGCTGGCCGCGGAAGGCTGGCATGCCCGCGGAAGGGCACTTCTGGCACCTTCGGAGTTTGATGGGCCTCCTCTCGTCGCGCTTGCCACACGCATGCATGCGTGCGCACGCCTCGGGGCCCCGCGGGCAGCCGGATGCGCGGTGCTCCCCAGGTGACAATGAAGCAGTAGGCCTCGGGACTGCCAACGGCAGACAGCATATGTGCTTGGGCTGACTAGCGCCTGGGGGCATGCTCCGGCGCAATCTTCGCCCGGCCCATGCCCTGACGGCCGAGGCGAGGGGCGACGGTCAGCGCGGCCCCGGCCATCTTTTCGGCCGGCAGGCGGCCAGCCACAGGCCCCCGCCTGTGGGATACACACACCCACACCCACAGCTACCGCTGCCCCTTTTGCTATCTCTCCCCTCCCCTGTCCGCACACGCCTACGTCGCTGCCGCCCCC